AATGGAGAAAGGAGAGTCTCTTCAATAAATGGTGCTGGGAAAACTGGACAGCCACATGCAAAAGAATGAAAGTAGATCATTATCTTACACCATGCACAAAAATCTACTCAAAATGGATTAAAGACTTGAATGTAAGACCTGAAACCATGAAACATGTAGAAGAAAGCATAGGCAATACACTCCTTGACATTGGTCCTAGTAGCATATTTTCAAGTACTATGTCTATCAGGCAAGGGAAACAAAAGAAAAAATAAACAAATGGGACTACATCAAACTAAAGCTTCTGCACAGCAAAGGAAACCATCAACAAAACGAAAAGACAACCTAACAAGTGGGAGAAGATATTTGCAAACCATATATCAGATAAGGGGTTAATATCCAAAATACACAAAGAGCTCATACATCTCAACAACAAAAAAACCAACAACCCAATTAAAACATGGGCAAAAGATCTGAACAGAGATTTCTCCAAAGAAGATATACAGACGGCCAACAGGCGCATGAAAAGATGTTCAACATCATTAGCTATCAGGGAAATGCAAATCAAAACTACAATGAGATATCACCTCACTCTGGTCAGAACGGCTATAATTAACAAGACAGGAAACAACAAGTGTTGAAGAGAGTGTAGAGAGAAGGGAATCCTTGTATATTTCTAGTGGGAGTGCAAACTGGTGCAGCCACTAGGGAAAGCAGTATGGAGTTTCCTCAGAAAATTAAGAATGGATCTTCCATATGATCTAGCTATTCTACTGCTGGGTATTTATCCAAAGAACTTGAAAACACAAATGCATAAAGATACACACACTCTTATGTTCATTGCAGCATTATTCACAACAGCCAAGACTTGGAAGCAACCTAGGTGCCCATCAAGGGATGAATGGATAAAGAAGGTGTCGTATATATACACAATGGAATACTACTCAGCCATAAGAAATGAGGAAATCAGGCCATTTGTGACAACACCGATGGACCCTGAGGGTTTTATGCTAAATGAAATAAGTCAGAGGGAGAAAGTCAAATACCATATGATCTCACTCAAAAGTAGAAGATAAAAACAACAACAAATGAACACAGAGCAACAGAGATTGGACTGGTGATTACCAAGAGGGGAAGCGGGGAGGGAGGAGGGTGAAAGAAGGTTGATTAGGCACACATGTATGTTGATGGATTATAATCAGTTTTTGGGTGGTGAACATGATGTAATCTACACAGAATTCGAAATATGTTATGATGTACACCTTAAAGTTATATAATGTTATCCATGTTACCGCAATAAAAAAATAAAAATAAATTAAAACAATAATCTTGAATAAAGAGTTGTCAGTATTCCTCAAGCCCCTCATAGGTAGAGATATTATTCTCTACCAGACATTACTGTCATCATTAATTAGCCCTCACTCTTAATAAGTTTACAAACTAGGAGGGTAATCATCTCAGAAATAAAGACTGAGGAACAAAGACCTGGTGACAGTGCTACAAAAGATAGCATGAGGAAGCAAAGGATGAACTGTCAGTAAATGATGCAAACAGGAGTTGCAGATCAGAAAAGGGAACAAGCACTGTAGGATGGGCCAGAGAACTGAGCTAAGCCTTGAAGAACGAATCATTTGGATTTACACTGGCAAGAGAGATTAATCTGCTCATGGAGCAGTGGACCTGCCAGAGCCAGGAGGTACACAAGCTGCCTGTCCACAGCACAGCCAGGGATTCACGCTGTCAGATGCTCTACCAACTCTCTCACAAACAGTGTTCGATTCATACAAATGCAAAGGAAAACAACCTCATTGACATTGCTGTCGTTAGATCAGACAGTGAGTAATTAGATAAACTGATATAATGGAGGCAGTGAAATTTAAAAATAACTAGAATGTCCAAGTATAAAGAAAACTGAGAGGAAAAAAAAGAGAGGTAGGCCCATGTACTTATTGTAGTTGGGACACATTTGTTTTGCTTATTCCTGTGAGTCCTGGGGTGAGAAAATGTGGTAAATTCAAAAGAAGCAGGGTCATATACACACAGCGGGTGCTTTCTCACAGCCAAAACCAGGCTAAGCTAAGGAGTCTTGTTGGTTTACGTGCCTGGCTGCCACATAAAACTATTCAAAGATGCTCCCTTCACCTACCAATTATTCAATCCCTCTCTCATTCACTTTTGAGGTTTTAGAAAGTGAAGCTCACCTTCCTATAAATAAGGGAACCGTTGGATCCCTAGGCTCTGCAAGGGCTGGACGACTGCCAAAACATTTCTCAAAACTTATACTAAAACAGGGGCTGGCCCCGTGGCCGAGTGGTTAGGTTCGCGCGCTCCGCTGCAGGCGGCCCAGTGTTTCGTTGGTTCGAATCCTGGGCGCGGACATGGCACTGCTCATCGGACCACGCTGAGGCGGCGTCCCACATGCCACAACTAGAAGAACCCACAACGAAGAATGCACAACTATGTACCGGGGGGCTTTGGGGAGAAAAAAGGAAAAAAATAAAATCTTTAAAAAAAAAAAAAAAACTTATACTAAAACAAGAAGCAAACATGATGAAAATGAGTCCCCAAAGATCAGGATTTGTGCAGTTAAGGATCATGTTCCTGCACTCAGAACGTGCAGCACTGTGGAGTCATGTTTCCTTCTTCAAAATAAAGCCGGGCTTTTTCCGGCACATGAAACTCTCCCTTCCATCCCACTGTCTGCTAAAGGTCCCCACACAGCAGGAGCAGCAGCAGGGGAGGCAGAGGCCACATCATGCCCCACATAAGCAAGTGCTGCAGGAAAAAGAAGCTTTCTTTTAAGCTGGAATTTTAAAATTCCAGAGGGACTGAAAGATTAAGGGAGAAATGAAGGGAGACAGGAGAGAGTCACAGCTAGTGAGGAGCTAGGGAAGCATGAGTGAGAAAGGAGGGTCAGTCGGGGAGGACAAGAAAGCGGAAGGGGAGGAGAGACCAAAAGGAAGCGGAGGCCAATGGGAGAAGCTCAAGAACTGAAGGAGAGAGAATGAGAAGTATCACAGGACATCCATGTTGACAAGGACCTGTAGATTGATGTCATTTTACACATCCGTGCCATCCGTCTCATCTCCTTATGTCTTTCTTCCACAAAGGCTTTTTGTAGAATTTAAAATTTTTATCAATCAAATCTATCTCCTTCTCACATACGCAGGTGTATGGTGAAAAACAACATCCGTATGACTTTTCAAAACAACTGAGTTTAACATTTTTACTTTGACCATTGTCTGGAACAACAACAAATATTTATTTAAGAAGTTTCCATCTCTTTACTAATCACGTAAGGTTTTTAAACTTTTACTTTCAAAACAGCAACATCAACTTCATCGTTAAGTCTGATAAACTTAAAGTCTTAAGGGATTATTGAAGAGGCCCTCTATTACCGAAATGTGGAGGGCCATTTCAGTTCATCCCTGGGCCTCCTAGTCTTTTCCTCATTCCTCTCAACTCCTGCCTACCTTCACCTATAGCCATTCCATAAGCAAATTCTCTTGGATCCACCTTCAATATATATCCAGGATCTTCCACTTCTCACCACCATGGCTGCCACACTACTCAATCACCAGTCTGGGCCTGGACTCTCACAACGGCCCCCGAAGCCCACTCTTGACTCAGCAGCCAGAGTGCTACCCATTGGCAGATGGAGTCACTCCTCTGCTCAGAATCAGCTCACACAGAGAAAGCAGCAAGGTGCTGACCAGGGGTCCACAGGCCGCACCTGATTTGCCCCCTGTAGTACCCCCTCCCCCATAATCCATCTCTCCTACCACTCCCCCCTCCATATACATACACTCCTGTCTATTTCTTTTTTTTTTTTAAAGATTTTATTTTTTTCTGTTTTCTCCCCAAAGCCCCCCAGTACACAGCTGTATATTCTTCGTTGTGGGTCCTTCTAGTTGTGGCATGTGAGATGCTGCCTCAGCGTGGTTTGATGAGCAGTGCCATGTCCGCACCCAGGATTCGAACCAACGAAACACTGGGCCGCCTGCAGCAGAGCGCGCGAACTTAACCACTCGGCCACGGGGCCAGCCCCCTGTCTATTTCTTGAACATGCCAGGCCTGCTTTCACCTTAGCGCCCAGAAATCCCTGATATCCAAAAGGCCCGCCTCCTCACTTCCCTAAGGTCTCTGCTCAAATGGTACTTCCGAGACCTCTCCTGAGCCCCCTTACACAGGCAGCACAGCGTCCCTGTGCAGGTTATTCCTGTCCTCTTACTGTGGTTTATTTTCCTCAGCATGTGTACTACCACTTGACAGACAGTGATTTACTGGTGGCCTCCCATCTTAAAACATAAGCCTTGTGAGAAGGGATGCCAGCCTTCATCTTAATTTCATTCAACCTAAAGGGCAAATGTCAAGTGGTAATACTCATTTTGAAGACTGTATTTGCAAAGGCACAAGAAATCTATAAGTCTTCTACAGCAATACATGGGTTTGCAAATCTGTATTTGTGGGTACATTTCTATCTCTGCACCTTCTTTAATGGGCCATAATGATAGAATGAATATGTAAGATCCACTGTATTTATTTAATCAGGTCTATGCTTCCTGCTTTTGACTAATGTCCTTCAGCAGCTTGGGGAATCCTGCTAGTACTCAAAATAAAAACAAGTCACCAGCCCCACTCTAGGTTACATATCAAATGGTTTCAACATGCTTATATCCTAAAACAGGGAGGTATCAAAAGCTAGCTTGCACCAAAAACAAACCAACCAACCAAAACTAACTTTTTTTAAGAGTAACTATCAATTTCTTCTCTCTTTCCATGAAACCTGGAAAATCTTTCCCATTATCTATGGAACCTAAGCTTAGTAAAATCAAGTCTTTATGTATAATTATGAAGCTTAAAGGCTCCTTCCCTTGAGTGATGGATGCCATGGGCAGTCTGTACACATGACTGAACCTTTGGAATGGGCCTCTTTTCCCCCGAGTAGCAGGGAAGTGACACAGTGAGAAGCAAACACCTCAATGACCCAGACCACAAGGCAAACTCCCATCCGAGCTCACCACTTCATCCTCGGTCCAGCACTTTTCAATCAGCTTGGGCACAGGCTTCTTTACCAGGCGCTGCAGGGCTTTGCCAGCATCATAACTGCTTTCGTGTAGCTAAAACAACAACAATAATTTTAGTTAGTTAATTGCACCAAATAACAGAACTGGAAGCAAATCAATAAAAGGAAAGCCCTGCATTTACTCTCTCTTATAGAAGAATCATGAGATGGGCATACAGATTCAGAATCATTTTAGTCAGCATGATAACTTGTTCTCATCCAGCTACTTCCCCAGTTCCACCTATTCTGGGAGAGGGAGATAGGTAAAGGTAGAGAACATTTTAGCAATAGTAGAAATAGGATTAAGAATAACAATAACAAACATGAATTAACATCTGGCCTGGAACAGTGTTAAGCACATTCCATGTATTCATTATCTTCCTTAATCCTCTGAGGAAGGTCTTCTTTCCCTCATATAATCTTATGAGGTAGGAACTACGGTCACCTCATTTTATGAATGAGGAAACTGAGGCATAGAAAGGTCAAGTAAAGGTGTTCACCACACTAAGCCAGTAGGCGGTGGAGTCATGACTCAAATCCAGCCAACGTGACCCCCACTCTTCTCCCATTGTCCCCAAAGTGGCCTAAAGACATGCTAGATTATGTTCTTTCCCTTTAGCATTTCTTAAGGCTTTCAAATGTAGTAATTTCATTAAAGAAACTAATTCTGTAACAGTATACTAACTTCTCAGGACACACAAATAAAGATGCTGGTTTATCTACACATTCCTTTTAGGATCAAACTTCTCTCTTGTCAATGCTAATGAACTTTTTTCACTCCACATCCTTTTTAACCCTGGGCAGTGCCTGGTACCACTGACCCCTCTTTATCTTGCAAAGATACGCCTGCCTTGGCTTCTGTGACCCCATACACTCCTAGTTCCTGAATCTCAACTTGCAGACAATGGAGAGAAACAGCAGGTAGAGAGATCCTCTTGCTCAATCTACTTCCCCAGACTGTGCCTATCCCTCTAAAATTCTCACTGGAAATCTGCCTTTCATTTAAAAATCTACTTCTCTGACACAGCAATCTGTTTTGGCTAAGACTTGTATCTCCAGTGCCTAACACAGGCTGTAGCATAAGGTGACATAACACAAATACTTGTTACATTAATACATAAATGCCTTCAACTACTGTCCCTAAGTAGGCTTGACCCAAAGCTAAATCTTGGTTTATTCAGATTCAGTCAGCCTATGTTGACAGAGTGCCTCTTTCGTTCGGCAGCGTATGAGACCCTGGAGAGATGGCAGTGAACAAAATAGGCAGAGGATCCCTGTTCTCGTGGAGCAGACGTTCTGATTTTCTCACCTGTGCTTCAATCTCTTATTTGAACAATTCACCAGCATTTGCTGAAGACCCAGTCAAATAAGCTAGCCCTGGTGGCCCAGTGGTTAAGATTTGGCATTCTCACGGTCACGGTCCAGGTTCATTTCCCAGTTAGGGAACCAAGTACACCACCCATTTGTGGGTTGTCATACTGTGACAGCTGCGTGTTGCTGTGATACTGACAGCTATGCTACCAGTATTTCAAATACCAGCAGGGTCACCCACGATGGATGGGTTTCAGTGGAGCTTCCATACTAGACAGACTAGGAAGAAGGACCTGGCCACCCACTTTTCAAAAAACTAGCCATGAAAACCCTATGAATAGCAGCAGAGCACTGTCTGATATAGCCCAGGAAAGTGAGAGGGTGGTGCAAAAAGACTGGGCAGGGTTCCACTCTGCTGGACACAGGGTAGCTAGGAGTCGGAACTGACTCAACAGCACTAACAACAACAACAACAACAACAGTACAAAAACAGTTTAAATAAGGTACAAACCTTAGTAACTCAGTTTTTATTTGCAGGAAACTCACAAACTCGTGGGGATATGTTGCGGGGATACGAGACACACAAGATGACAAAATCAAACAGGGTGTAGTAATTACTTTCACCTAGATGTAGGCAAAGAGCTACAGACGCACAAGAGGAGAGACCCCTGTGTTTCTTCTGTTTAATAGAAGATTCCAAAACATGCGTACAAATTGCCTTCCTAGCAACTGCTGTAGCCCCAGGGCTGGGGATACAGTAAGCCTGCGATAAATATTTGTTGAATGAAATAAACACTTGAAACATACACAGCAAGTCTCTCTTCTCATCAACTGCTATTGGAAGGGGTATCACAAATACCCATTTTCATTGCGCATTCAGCAAAACAGAAAGCACTGAAAATCTAAATTTTCTGAGGAGTCTCACAGTTTAAAGGATCCCAATTTATTTTAAATCCAGACTGTCAAAGGAAGTCCAAGCTATATGTTCATTATAACAATAAGTCAACTACTTTAAAACAAAACAAAACACCTACAACAATGATCAATGTTGAATTCTGCTTTGATGGTGGCACAGTGTGTTGGAGGTGTGGGGGAAGGTTATGTGATAAATATGAATACCTCATATTAACTTACGTATTTTTATGACATTCATCATTAGACTTTAAAAAATAAAACAGTATACTATAAATACTATACTAAATAAATATACTAAATACTAAAATACTATAATTTGCAAATGTTTGAAAACTGTCCAATTTAGTCTTCTTTCAGAAGCATAAAGAGATTTTAAAAATAAAATTAGATTTTCACACTTTGCCTAATACCCAGAACAAATAGATATTTGCCAAGTTCTATAACATAATGAGAGTCTATAATGAGAGCTTAACAACATGGATTGGAATTGAATAAAAGGAAAAATTGCATGCCTACTTTTTTAAAAGCATACATTTTAGTGATAATCTGAAATCAATTCAAGATGATCAAACCATAAATTCTTAATAAAAAGCTCATGATAAATTAACATTTTATAAGAGATAATTGTAGTATATCCAATAATTACACGGAGAGTGATGAAAAACTATGGACTTTGGAGCCAGATTATCTGGATTCCAATTCTAGCTCTACTACTTAGTAGGTGTGTGACCTTGGGCAAGGTACTTAACCTCTTTGAGTCTCAATTTTGTCATCTTTAAAAATGAGCATAAGAATTTCTACCTTTTACGGCTCTTGTGAAGATAACAGTAGAAAATACATGTAAATTACTTAGACCTGTACCTGGCACATAGTATGCTAAATTAAAGTGCTGGCTATTTATTTTTAAAAGGAAAGAGAAAAAAAACAAAGGAAGCAGTCTCTACTCAATTTTCTAGATTAAGAGTAGCCTTTCCAGAGATAGAAAAAAAATTGTTAAACTATAAACAAAAGCACTTGCGTTTCACATAATTACTCATGTTAATAATTTATGAAATTTGATTAAAACTCTGGTATAGTACACAGAAAAAAATTAAAATTTTTAAATCTCATATGACTACTAACAGGAAATTACTCATAAGAACATATAGCCCATTCCAGAAGTGAATTGCTGAGTGAACGAAGTTAAATCAAAGGTCATTAATCCCTATGACATTCCTGCCTTCTGGTGAACCAAGGAGAGCTTTAAATAATAGCTGGAAGAAATGTTTTGAATAACTTGTTGAACTTGTTGTGGTTGGTTGGTTTATTAGAGAGGCTGGCTACGGCCTGCACGATGCCCCTCAGTTAAAATTTCTAGTGAGGTGCTTATTAGAGAAAGAGGCACTTTCCCCTAAACACATCTCAGCATTCACACTTCCTTCACAAATCTTCATCTCAGATCACACTTTCCCCTGAAGAAGCTGCTGCAATTCCTTCTGCTACTCTGTTCTCTAAATAACAGGTAATTTCCTTCTTTCATTTGATCCATTGTCTGCCTGTCCTCTTAAAATACTCACATTCCTACTACTCAGCCATAAAAAAAGACAAAATCGCCCCATTTGCAACAACATGGATAGACCTTGAGGGTATGATGTTAAGCGAAACAAGCCAGACAAAGGAAGACAAACACTGTATGATTTCACTCATATGTGGAAGATTAACACACGGACAAGAGAATCGTTTAGTGGTTACCAGAGGTGAAGGGGGTTGGGGAGTGGGCACAACAGGTGAAGGGGCCCCTGCATATGGTGACTGACAAAAAAATAATGTACAACAAATTTCACAATGTTATAAACTATGCTGACCTCAATAAAATTTTTAAAAAATATTCCTATATCTGATCTTTCCATGCTATTTCCCCAATAAATATTTAGAGCGTCTACTTCTCCCACTCCTATACAAAGAAACATCTGAAAAGGAGAAGGTGTGGGACTATTTACCCAGAGCGATGAAACATCTATTGAACAAATGAAGTCGGGATATTCTTGTGCTGCCATCAGTCATTCATGAAGGCTAGTACAAAAGCTGAGTCAAGGGGCTGGTCTGGCATGCCCTCTTCCCAGGGAACCAAAAGAAACCTTTCTAAATAGCCATCTTCTTCTTAATGTTATATTTATTTCCACTTTCCAGGAATCTTGTCTGAGAAAATTCTGAGAGCTTTACAGCTCTGAAGTAATACTGTAATCATATTTTATTAAAGATATACTTTTAATATACTAAAAGTTGTTACGGCCCACATAGATTCACAAGAATAAAGATTATCTTCTGAGCACTTTGGGAAAAATCGCTGGAGTTCAGGACATTCTTCATTCCTTCCCCAAGTATTTCTTGAATGCTAACCTGTGCCACACACTTTTCTAGGTGCTAGGGACAGACACAGCTGTGACTAAGACAGATAACAGACTTCAGAAATTTGTAGGGCTGAGAATGGTGTAACTTGTGAGAATCAGTTTAAAGTGTGACGCTTCCACCTAAACGTCATCTCCAAACTCTAAGGTTCTAGAAAGTTGGGTTCTACCTTCTTTGCTCGATATATCATGCATAAATAAGCCCTTCTTAAAAGAGGGTTGTTTTCTAGATGATTATGAAGAGCTATTTTCTTCAGATTGGGGCCAAAATAATAATTTTGACGAAGAGCTAAACTGGGTTTTTCAACTCAGAGTTGGTAAATTTACCAAGGGTTATCTTAAATTGTCATTAAAAACATTCCCCTCTAATATAGCACCAAGCTCTGAAGGACTGAAATAATTTCATCCTGTGAAAAACATTACGCGGGTTTCAAATTTTAAA